TTTATTTTAAAAAAGGATTTAATTGTATTTAATTGTATTACACCTACAGCCACGGTTACATCTGCTAGTATTTGACATTACCTACAGAATTGGATTTGCATACATTCAGTGATTCATAAAATTGGACATCACAGCAAATATAGTGAGCAGTTTGCTTGATTGAGAGCAGGTAAAACAGATGTTCTACCTGCTTTCAAAGATCCAATCTGTCATGTGTCGGCAACATCAGCATAATTTCTTACCATTTTAAGATTTACTTTTTCATTTGGAAGTAAACTTCAACAGCCTGGCATTTTACACATTTAATGGGGCTTATACTGCTGTCTCGAAACTCGATACAAGCCGTAATATAAATCAACCTCCATATCAAATTCTAGCTCAATTCAAAGACACTAGTGCTACAATAGTAATCACAATTGAATCTAAAACGCATGTGAATGGTCAGTTACCAAAAGACTGCAATTATTTATGCAGATCGAGATGCAATGAAAAAAGATCCCCATGTCTTTGTGTTTGGTTTAAAAACCTGCTTTTCCCAGAAGATACATATGTTGAAAACCATGTATATTAGTTAAGAAGTCTCACAATTGCAATATTAGAAAGAATTGAGATTTGTTATTATTTTTTTCAAAAAATATACCACACAGAGATCAAAAGCTCTGCCACCACTGGTCGTCAATAAGCTTCAATTGTTGCTCTCAGGGGTAGAGGATTATTAGCTCTATCTGTAAAATGTATGGGGAAACAGGGTATGGTACAAAGTTAAGTAAATCCGTCTCATCTGCCACCAGCACACAATAATCTCTCTGCACCAGGCTCACTCTCCATTATATCATCACTGCCATCTCACAAAGGAGCCAGAACACTTTATTAACATGCTACTTGCCATCCTCTGGAGCACAAAATGGCTAGATATAATAAATGTGTGCGGCCCCATACGTTAACCCCCATACGTGTTGATACAAGGACAAGGTGCGAAGGACATAAGAGATATGGCCTGGGGATCAACCAAGGTTTTTTTCTCATTTGAGGCAGATTTTGCTGTGTACGCTCAATTACTTTTTTTTTTCACATTCTCAGACTCATTCTGATCACATTTACTGGCATAGACCTGAATGAGTGCTAGTGCAGCTCCACAGTGTCACCTGTTGATCAGATATAGCATAGCACTTAGATAAAAAAAAATTATGCCTGTTGCAGGTTGTTTTGCTTTTTTTTTTCTATGTTGAGGCAGGAACAAATCCTATTATGAATTAACTTAGGCAAGGACCCGTGAGATAAAATGTTAAAGAAGAAGCAAAGTTTAAGGTGCACTGCGCAACTTTTCTAGTAGAAGGTCTGCTACCTGCTTGTCCCCATGGAGATGTTATTGGTTTCCCTGGAATGTTCCATGGTATGACTTTAAACATATCCATTAGCATTTATTCGTTACGGGTGATTCTATTATTTTAAAAATATAATAATTATTTCTGTTATAGGAGTGACTCTCCACAGATCTGTTGTAACCTGCAACAGACCCTACACTAGAAATGTTACACAGTGCACCTTTAATAATACTTGTTACTCAGTTTTGTAAGCATTTTGAATTAGAACGAGACCCTGGTAACGGTTTTGGGGCTTGGAGACTTAGGTAAAAAGAGGAAAAAAAGAAAGTGAATTTCCTAGTATTGATTTATACATGATTTATACATAATTTATAAAAAATCATGATCAATCATGTACATTTAATAAACATAAACAAGACCTTAAAGGTGCACTGTGTAACGTTATGGTTGGGGGTCCATCGCCTGCTTGTTTCTATAGGTATGTGACTGCTCTGCTTGGAATGTTCGACAGTATGACACTAAATGGCTCTACCTGACATTTATTAAGTTACAGGTAGTTTTATAGGTCAGTGATTGGGGTCGTCTCTCCACAGGTCTGACCTGTAACTTTGTTTGGTTTGGTCTCCATGAACATAGAAAGGTTTTAATATCATACTGTGAAACATTCTAGAGAAAGCGATAACTTCTCCTTGAAGAAAAGCATTTGACAGACCTTCCAACAGAAAACTTATACAATGTTTAAAGTAAGTGTCCTTCAACATGAGATATAGACCAATTAATTCCTCTAAAGTCTGAACTTTCCAAACCTTTTCCTTGAATTAGCAGTTAGCCTCTTGATTAAAAAGAGACAAGCTGATCATTGATAACTGAGCCTCAGTTTGATTCATTTGAAATGGGATTACGTGCCCAGTCCGATGGTGGTTAGTGTATTTTTGCATGCAGGTTCATCTTTATCATTTCATGACAACTGTCAATACTATACATGAGCAATTGTCAGACCGTACTTGTATGGTGTTGAAAACCTTGCTGCAATCAACATATAAAAAGATGCACCGACAATTAATGAAAGTACTATTTATTTTAATATCAGTTCAAGAGTCTGCGAGACCTTTACCGAAAATGATTCAGCTGTGAAACCAGGCAAAATTTTCTCTGCTCCGGTGCTCCTAATAAGTGACTCACTGTGCATCTACCCAATCTCTCTCCTGCCAAGATCCCCACTGCTACAGCCACTTCAAGCCATCCAATTCCACCAAAGACAATACGCTTTAGAGAGCTAGGTGAAAACATCACCTGAAGAATAAGGTCAACACTATACTGGCAGCAACAGTGCCATCATGCATGGAAACTTCACTGGAAGTACTGTACTTTTCCCAAGTGCTTTTACCATACCATGAACTCCAGGGGCCTCAGAAATTCTCCTTGAAAGTGTCTGTACAGACAAACATCCAACTATATAAAACTGTCTGCAATCATCGCGAAGTACTTTACTCTTGCTGCAGTCTTCAGCAAAAATCTGTAAACCTGGGCTCAAATCACATCATGTCCACTCCTCCTTTTCATCATAAATGGACAATGCAAAGTGAGTATTTTAAGAAATATTTATCTACACATGAGCCAGTAATAAGTTAATTTTACTGAGACACAGAGGACCAAGGGATGGACTGAGGGGGAGATGCTTCAGCAGCACACAGGCTCATGGTGCTTTAGACTTAACTCTGCTTCTCTGACTCACCTTAAAGCAGGTGTTTAGGATTGGCAACCATTTGATAATGTTTTCTTTTCAATAAGCAGGATAGGTATGAAAGAATTTCATCAGTGTAATTGCTTATTTAATTTCTATTACAGTTCCTTAGTATACATAAAAGCTACTAGCCATACAAGCCATAAAAAAACTGAAAAACATTTGCATAGTTTGGCTGGCTCATTCAATTCCCTTTGAATAACACAGAAAAACACGTCTGCAATACAAGAACCGTTCAGAATGCCTTTAGTTGTGTTGGTAGGTGTTAAGGCAAGGGTTTGACTGGTCAACAGAAGACAGGGTAGACCATTCTGGAATGAGTAATACATGGAACCAAAATGCACAGGGAAAACATTTTTTTATGTCTTTGTTAAAGTCTTTCTATCTCAGTGTAACTGATTTTGCAATGCCAGGATTGCTAGGGATAAAAACCATCAATGTAACATAATCAGCTTTCTACAGATCGACTGCGAGCCCATATAGGGAAATGCGTAGTCTTGTGCGGTGTGAGTTTGCTTCAAATACCAGAAAAACATAGGCATTATTTAAGTTTGCCTAATGAAAGGAAAGCTTCCATGTTCTACTGACAATGATATTAAGTGCACACACTTTTTTTCCACTGAATGCTTACAACCATCAAGGGACTTCAAATAACAATTTAAAAACTCTTTCAATAGTAACTTTCAATGCAATTCCTACACTCCCCAAAGTTCCAAGAGTTGAGCTCAGACCTTGTTAAGTTATGGGAATGACAGATGAGGATATATGGCCCATCAGAGTCAACACAACAGGCCATGACACAACACTGACACACATACGTACAGCAAGCTTCTTGCTGACACTAACGATCTTTAGTCACCATTGTTGCTTGTGCATCGAGCAGAATTTCTGACAGTTGCTTGTTAGCAGCCGCGGCCTGTTAGACGAAGATTTTCTTCAGCTTTCTCACCATCTTTTGCTACATCTGCTGCTCACCTGCTTCTCCATTCCTTCCAGTCTTGGGTTTGTGAAGGGATTTTGTTGCACTAACAAGATGCTAGTAACAACAATGCATGATAGGGAAGGGCTGAGGTCAAAGGGCACGGCATCCCCTGATAGGTAGCTGACAAGGAGATGGAAGCCGAGAGTGATGCATGCATTTATGGAGAAAAGTGGAATCAAATCCTGAGCACGTTCCCACTGCAAATGTGAAGCCCCCAGAGCTGTACTATTCACTCTCCACACCATCCCTGTGCCCTCTACCATCAACCCTGGCACTGACAGGAGGACACCCAGCAACTTGTTTAGTTCAAAGTCACCGCCGTTCTTAACACAGGGCCTGGGCACACCCAACTTGGTTTGGCTTAGGTCGATTTGTTCTGTCAATACTATGCATTACAGCAATTTTATATATATATATATATATATATAATATAATATATATATATATATATATATATATATATATATATATATATATATATATATATATATATATATATATATATATATATATATATATATATACATACACACACACACATACATACATATATATACACATATACATACATATACATATATATACACATATATACATACATACACATACATACACACATACACACATACATATATACATATATATATATATATATATATATATACACATACATACATACATACTTGCAGTAAATGCCTAGCTCATAAAATGATTCCTCTATCCAGCTAACTTGAAGCAGTATTACAAAATACAGGAATCTACAGAGATCAAGGCTTCCTTAATCCAAATCGGCAATCAATACTCCTCTATAAATTCATCTCCGAATAGAAATTTGACTGGAGATTTGCCGTTTTCCAGCTTGTGCTGTAACTCTAAATGTGTGGGCAGCTGCAGTGGAGGATCGATCTTTACAAACAGAGCACAGTACATTACAGCGTTTCTCTTATACCTTCATCAAAGTCGGCGTCATCCTCTGTGTGCTGGGGAAACGGGAAGCAGTTTGTGATCTCCAGACGATCGTCCACCACCAGCCCCAGCAGGACTCCCTGGACCACTTCGCTGCCCTGGCCCTCCTCCTGGTAATGCTTGATAATCTTCAGCACCACCTGTGAAAGCACAAAAAAGCAATTGGACTTTTGATATCGAGCGGCTACAACAATATTGAGGAGCAGGAGAATAGGCCTCACACTTCAATAACTGGCCTGGGAAAGTGATTTCATTTTCTCAAGCGGGGCTAATTTATTTATCTTGCCCACAGTCTGTACATTCTGCGGCTGTTACAAAATTTCTAGTTATTGTTTTCCCTCTCATCTTATGATTTATGTTTGCTGGTTCGATGGTATCCAGACGTGTCATGTTGATTTGAATTCATTAGGTTTTGTTGTGCTTAGTTTGCATTAGATTCATAGAGAATTTTAATTCCCTCTGCCCATTCATTGTTATGATTTATAAACTAGTCAAATGCATTAAACTGTAATTAAACAAAATATGTATAATATTCCAAATAAACCTTCATAATCCCGAAAAATAAAAAAATAAAAAAAACACAGAGCAGATTTACAAACATGCATCATGTCAAGTAGCTAGACAGAGAAAACATTAGCGGACATCATTGAAAATGGGAACCTGTCCTCATTTGACTTTGTTGGTTAAAAGAAAAAATGAAGAAAAACACACACACACACACACACTTTTTTGACATATTTTTCATGGTGTTTAAAATTCATGGGTCCTATAAAAGAGTCGTAAACCAGTACCATTCGTGTACTACGGAATTAATAATGAGTATTTGTGTGCAATATTTATGTGGATGTGAGCAAGTTGAGCAAAAATTTACAAATCAAATAAAAAATACACATAAATGTGAGATTTACAACTTTTGTGTCCTGTTAAGGGTATGTAACATCTGCCCCATCTGGACAGAGTGCCCACGCATCATACAAGAATGCAAATGAGCTGAAAGGACACTCATTCTCCACTAGATTAAAATTTGCCCTTAGCTACGTCACTAGAGCCACAAAAAAGGAAACTGATTCAACAAAAAATCTTTAAAAGACAACTCAAAAAGCTTCAAAACTAAAATGGTGAAAGAAAGGCAAAGTGTCTAAATGAGCAAGACGAGGAGCTGCGTGTAGGGGGAGAGCATAAATCACGCTGATAACAGTGTGGGCAGGTCATAGCCACAGGCATTAATAATACACACATACACGGTGTGGGCTGGCGGTCTTCAAGTCGTGTTCACAACAAAGCAGTCCATGAGGGAGCTCTTATTGGTCTGCCCTGGTGCTACACACATATACACACACACGTGCACCTGTCCTGGGAGATTTATTTCAATAGACTGCTGGACCTGTCATGCAACAAGTAAAAAGGGTACAAGGTTTGGGGTAGAGAGATTGCACTTTGGGAGAAAAACAAATCTCATTCCTGGCCTGCCTGTGCTACTGACTGAGAGGCTGAGGGTTGTGCACAATGGATGCAGAGATTGAGAATTAAAAAAAATAGGAGAGGAGGAAGCCACCAATGTAGAGGCTTGGACAAAAAATGGCAGTGACGACCGAAAAGCTGAGAGAGATAAAAGATGAGCAACCAATGACGGTGAGGAAAGCTGAGGTGCTAAAAGAGGCAGGAGCCTGGAGGATGGACAGCTCTGGCTGCCTTCACAAAGACTCCTGCCCCCTTTTGAGACTTGGCTGCATCTGTTCCCAACAAATAGCTTTTTCTAGTCTCCATCAGTGGAAGCAGATAGCCCGATATACAAAGCCTACCCCTATCTACCTCTTGGCAATCTGTTCATCACGCACTTAAATAGCGTCAGTCTGGAAAGAGGGATGGCGAGAGATTGACGACTGGCCAAAACAACTTTAAGAAGGTCAAATAAACAACAGCCCAATTTGAGCTTCAGAAGTGAAAGCAGACCAGAGCGTGTGTTTGCACAGTGGACAGAGGTATTTCATGGATTTGCCATGCTGGTTTTCTTCATGCTGAGCAAATGTCATCAGGTACTGTAAGCAAAGTCAGGCAGGAGCACAGCAAATTTGGGGATAAAAAGTAAGGAAACACATGCAATACAGCACTACATCTCAGAGAACCACTGCCTCTCATAGTTTTATTGATCCATCCAACAAACAGCTACCCACAGAACTCGCTTCATGTGGAGAAGGCCCAGATTGATATGTGGACACAATATTATAAATCAACAAGCTTAAAATTGAATTGTGCAAAATCAATTGCAGTTCGAATCCCCCGTTGGCTATCTTTAATTCTCATAATAAATCTTCTTACACACACTGCAAAGGGGCTCATATTCAAGCCACAATGGGGGTCCAACTCATAAGAAAGATGAAAAGGCAGAGGCAATGAATTCTGTTTGGTGTCTTTGATGTGGAAATAAAGACTATATCTAATACAATTGACCAATTCCTGTATTGCATCTATTGTGTGCAGGCTTCAGCAGAGAATCAGAAATTCACACTTTTTCTGCAGGTTTGGCAAACTATTTCAAACATGTTACATTCTGTTTGCTAGCCTGATACTTTGCACATTTGAATACAACTGTGACCCACATAAACAAACAGTGGGTGGTTTTATTTAAAAGTGGGAAAAGTAGACTTATAACTTTATAACACTTTTTTATAACACATCGTCAGCTGCCTGCTCGTTTTGGTGCTTTTCATTTTCATGCTAACCAAATGGTACCAAAGACAAACTGAAAATTTTAGAAAAAGCCGCTGTAAGCATTCAGTTATGTCAGGCTGCAGTAATTTTTTGAGCACTAGTAACAGCTGATCACAGTTTTATTATCACTCAGAGTGATTGACAATATAGCTTGAGTAGAGAATATACCTCAGGGGTGTTTGCGAAATCATGGCATAATAAGCCGGTCTGACAGAATAAATCAAACTAACGCAAGCTTGCAAAGAAACTTTTTTTTTTGCCACTGCGTAATATTTTAGCAGAAAATACATTGAAACAAAAGCATGTTTTTTACTCTATATTGAACATAGTTTTAGAGTAGGTTTGTATCTCCACAAACCTAATGTTTTCTTGTTATGATTACACCACAGTATGGCATAACAGCATATCATCTCTGTGGAGGTTGTTCCAAAAAATGGGTTGAACTTTTTATTTCCATGTAATCTAGCAGAGTATCTGCATGAGGTTATACAGTGTTATATATATATAAGATGACCATGGGATGTTAAGCCATTCTAATGCAATAGAGGCACTTGCTGGCGGATTCATATAACAGCACTAGTGAAACAATCTTCAAAGCAAAGAAAAACCATTTCAACAACCATAGGCAATGAGGTCTGGAGGCAAGCATCCAGTACCACTAGTGATAGATAAGACTGCACAAAAAAAGTTGCATTTTAATCCACTGTGGTTTATGCTGCCATGTTTACACCTGAAATTGGGATCTTATGTTCTGAGTGCATTTTGCATACAGTGAAAGAGCAGATCACTGACTGCAAACAATGGAAAAGCAAGCAACAACCAATGCAATACTTAAGGCATTTACCAATGGAAGGCAAGATAAGCAGGAGGAAGGTAAGGAGTAGCTACCCACGAATGTAAAGCGCATCATGTAAATGAGACGCTCTGCTCCAGAACAGTGAAGTTCAAGTGGGAACATGAAAGAGCCATGGATGTGAAGCAAGTTTGTCCTCTGCTGTTTATACAGTGGTACTACACAACAAATCCACTTGAACTTTCGCTACCCTCTACCGTGTAGATACTGAATATAACGTGCGTTTTTTTTTTCACATATTATAATAAGGTGTTAATGTGGTGTAATGACTAGGTAAATTGACATAACAAATAAACAATCTGTGTCAGTAACTTTGCATCGCCTAGCCCAGTAGTCTACACAGAGAAGCTTAACAAAAAATGGGTAACTTTTTTTTCTTTCTATACTTGATTGTGATTTTTGAGCTTCATTAGAGATTGAGTTACCACAGTAAGTACAAAGTGACCTGTAAAGTGCTTTCAAATGATCAGCCTGGTGATCTCTTCGCATCCATTATATTGTGTTAGCATATAAGATATGATGTAGTTAACTACGGTACTTAGACAATACACAAAAAATACCAGCCGTAACCTAGCAAGTAAATGTAAAATGGGAGTAAATAAATACAAATTAAAATGTATGAATGAAAAGCAACGTTAGTGAACTATTGTGGCAGTAAATCCGCCATGACGATGCTAGCTCTGAAGCTAACCAATTTTTCATCTAACCTCTACAACCAAAAACGCAGTAAAACCCTTCCAGGCTTGTACCTCACACTTACCAGGCCTTCAATCTGGATCTGTTTCACGGGAGAGTCCAGGGTGCCACCTGTAGAAGACATACCGGCGTTAGATGATGAACCGGTCTCTTTACGTGATGCCATACGTAAACCGCTACACGCGGAAAGAAGGTAGGAAGTTTTCAGCGACGGAATACGGACGTGTCCGTCTGTTCTTTGTCCCTGACGGAAACACAGCAAAACAAGGAAGTTCCCTCACGGGGGCGAGGGATGCTGACCAAACGACTGATGCAAAGCCTTGCATTTGAAACACTGTGCATTTAAATTAAAATAATAAAATGTACGTATAATTATTAAGAATTGCAATTGTTGAAATGTATAATAATGAAGGGTACGTTACTGATGCACTTTTTGCATCTAGCCAACACAAATAGTAACTGATACACCCAATTTATGACAATCTTTTTTTTTTTTAGCTAGCTATAGTACTGTTAGCAAGTGGCACTCATTTCCATGTGGCTTTTCCCAGGCTCACATTTTAAAGCACATCAATCAGGTCAAATTATAACAAGTACTTAAAACACTTTATTTCAAATGTTTGCAGATGTATCACAACTAGTAGTTATCCAAAGACTAAAAAGGTGGGATATTGAACTTACTGTAACAAGTATATTACCTAGTTACATAATGCAAAAAGGTGAATAAGCATAAACAACAAAGGTACAAAAAAAATGACATGAAACTTGTATAATCCACCTGAATTTTACATCTTAATGTGATACTAATGAAATTAAAGTTTCTGACAGATCCGCCTTTGCTTGTCATGAAATAACAAGTGCAACAAGGAGGTGTGAGGGAATACACTTCAGATATACCAGTACCTTTTATCATCACATGTACAGTGTCAATACAAAGTTCAACATGAAAATATAAAGGCCTTTCGTAAAAACATTTTAATACAAGAGGGACAATGCTAAAATGTTTGGAATGAGAGGCCAGTTTTTACTGAAAACAGAGCCAAACTTAATGACTGGGAAAGTAGCTTTATAAATATAGTTGTTAAACATTCTTCCTCATATTATTTTGAACCACATGAATACTGCATGATTCCACTTGTAGTTACAGTAAAATCCTTTGTAAAAACTTGCCCCCCCCTTTTAACCCACATACATCACTTTCCAAAATGGGCTTACGGGAAAAAAAATAAAAGGCAAACAGTTGTCTGCAGTAGAGTGTTCTTCCAATGTCTAAACAATGTGAAATCTTGGTCCAGCAGTGGCAATGATGTCGCTGTAGGGCTGAGATTGGGACACCTCGATGGCTTGTTGCTTCTTGAGGACCAGAAAACTGTAAAACTTTGCAGCCGCCTGTTTTTTGTTGTTGTTTCGGCACAAGTCGAGCAGACTGACGGACTCTGCCCCAGTCTTGGCCATGACACGCTGGAAAAAAAACAGACACAGGATTAAACACCAAATGTCAATTATGTATCCAATTTATATTTTATTAAAGCAGTTCAGTACCTGCAGGCCATGAAGCATCTGTTGGGTCCTCTTGTTCCACCTTTTCTCCTCTTGATCTTGGTCTCCGGCTTGGCCTTCTTCATCCTGAATGTGATAGATAGGACTTGGTCAATAACTCATCAGCCAGACTCCTGTATTATTTTAGAGCAGAGAAATCCACACTGACCTCCTCTTCATCACTATCATCCTTCTTGTCTTTGCCTTTGTCTCCAAGCAGGTCGAGCTCAGGGACGAGTTGTGTGAGGTTGACACTGCTCTCCTCTGGGGGAAGATCCACCTGTGGTATGTCTAACCTCTGGGACATGACAGAGCGATCAGGCTGTGTCTGGTCCAAGGGGCCCATCTGAGCGAAACACAATCACGATAAGAATGAAGAGGATAGCAACATCAGACCCATTTCAAATTTCTATAGTAACATTGCTGTGTTTTTTAATCAGGCCTCACATAATCATGGCTACTTAAAATATATGGTTTAAGGTGCAATAAGCTGCCTTCAGAAAGCTTAAATGGCTGGATGCATCCTTACTGGCAGTGCATCCTTTTCAAGGGACTTGCGTTTAACTCCGCGGGGAGTTGAAGGAGGAGGCATAACGGTCTCATCAAGGGTTGTCCTGCTGCCCTCCATTGCAGAGTGGCCCAGCATGCTGGTCTCCTCAGTGATAGTTTGGTCTACAATAAAATGTATGTCAAGAAAATGCTTTTAGAAATGGATCCAGATACAATTATATTTTGCATTAAAATTTAAAAATAGACAATTTTTATTATATAAACATAAATCTGTCTTACCAATAACATCTCTGTGCTGACCCATCATCTCCTCCCTAGGCACCTCTGGATTCTCCAGTTCTTTAAGGATCTCATCCAAACTATCCGCTTCACCACCCTTCCTCCTCTTCCTCAACTCATCTGGCACCAGAGGAGTCAGGCAGCGTGTGAACATCTGACAGAGTAAAAACAAATCTTTTTAAAATATCTGGTTAAGGCAACTGCAAAGCCAACTTAAGACAGTTTGTAGGTAAGAGCATAAGGAGGAGGAAAATGCATTATAAAATCTTTCTTCCAGGCTGGCAAGCATTGGTATTCTAGTCCACAGCAAACTCTGGGGTCACACAACTAATTAAAAGGTCCCTGGTAAATTTAATTGTGCACTATATGTATTTAACCCCCTTACCTTCAGCAACCTGCCATTCCAGAGAGGCTGAGCAGGGAGAGAGAAGAGTTTTTCCACTCCTCCAGTTTCCTTCCACATCATAAGTTTCTTAGTGGGAGGAGCGAGGTCCAGAGTGGTGACGATGTCTGAATAGTCAGATAACTGAGCCCTGATGGTTTTACTGTCCAACTCCTTCACACTGTCCACAATCAGCTTTCTCTTACGCTTGGCCTTGGTTTCCTTCACTGAAAAGGGATCGGATTGAATCAAATTAAGAAGAGACCATTTTATATTATGCATTTATATTGTCTACAGAAAGACAGCGTTTACCTGTGATGTCAATAGGCTCCAATGCAAAAGCTTCCTCCTCATTATGAACCAAAGTGGTCTGTTCTGTCTGATCTGCCATAGTTGGAAGAGGCTCTGCTGGGCCTGAGTCTGGACTGTCCGGACCAGCTACAAAAATAAAATAAAATAAAAATCTAAATGGCAAATTTTATTTACCATGTACACAATAAATTAAAATCTACTTACGTGACTGAAGGTTATCAAAGTCATCTTCATCGTCTCCATGGTCTGAGGGCATCATGACACTGTCTCTGATGACTGGCGGGTCATCAAAGATACCACCTTCAGGGCTCAACAGCTTATCAACTAACACGGACAAAAACGGTGTCAATTTCTATAGCATCACAAACTTACTGAGAAAACATACAAAGACATGGTTAACCTACCTAGCATACCACCATCACTGTTGCCCATAGAGGCATCACCAAAGTCATCATACTCCATATGGTTGGACTTTTCAGGGAGATTAGCAGGCCCAGGCTCTGCTTCTAAAAGCAGGTTGGGGGCTGTGGAACCATGCATGATGTCCTCCTCAAAAGTACTGGCATCCCGCATCATCTCTCTGTCATCCATTCCAAAGTCGGCTAAAACGTATAACACAATAGTTACGAAAAGTTCATACAGTGAGGTGTATGTGTCTACAACAATGTTTCTTCCTACCAAAGTCATTGTCTTGCAGGAGACTGAGGTTGCCAACGTCTTCCCTCATTGTGATTTCTTCCACTCTACTCTGGTTCAGAGTGAACTGTTGGGCCACATCTATGTCACTGAAGTAGGAAACTGTTAGTAAGCATATTTTTATAGAAGCTTAAATAAAGCAAAAAAACTTACTCAAGATCAGGAAGAGGTTGGTCGAAGTCATGAAACTCCTCAGGCAAAGTGATGGCATTATAAGCTGCTTCTCGGTTTTCCTCAGGCAAATCCACAACACCTGAATATTGAACAATGATTTCAGCAAGTTAAATGCTTTATGAACATGTGCCTTATGAAACATCCATGTCCTTACCTGGTCTGAAAGCCATTTTGATCTTGATAAAGGCTTCATTACAATCAGCCAGCAGGTATTTGGCCTTTCTGTGGTAGATTCTCACTACTCCAAGGAGTAGGTGACCGGAGGTACGCAAAGCCATTTTCACCTGAGGAAATAACCATAATGCAATTAGTACAGCAAAAATCAATACTAACAGTCTTAAAGAAAACAGGTCACACAAAACATGACATTTACCTTGGGAGATATGATGCTCTCCACACTGCTTTCAAGGTTGCATTCAAACACATGAGCCTTGGTCAACTTCTTGTCCCAATGGGCCGCCAGCCAGATCTTGGCCAGCGGCCCACGCTTACTGAGGACAAAGTGGGCGTAAAACATTGCCCTGGTTGTCCTGACTCACTCCCTCACTGGGGGCTATGTTACCTGAAAAAGAAATGTTTGTGAAACCAAAGTGAAAAAAGATAAACTGTTACATAGATGCAGTACAAGGAAGTAGTTATATAGGTTTCAAGGTATGGCAACCATCCTCTGTAGTCATATCAAATCATTGAAAATATGTTATCTTTGGAATGGGGTCCTATGGATCCTCGCAAAGTCGTTCAAATCAGGAAGGAATAGTTTGTCTGAATATGCCATGTGCTTTCGGGCCAACTCAAAACTTCATACAATCCTCGGATGCCTACATACTACACAGCCACAGCATAAATGGCAGTACTTCTTGGGTACCCGCTGAACTGCACAGCATTTGAGGCTCAACAAACGGGGCCGTGCGATCTTCTCAACTTGACAAAGGCAAAAATAAGCAGCAACAACTCGACTATAAAAGCCCGTCGTTCAGATAATGCAAAAATAATCCAAGCTAAAATACAGTTACTTAAAAAATATATATATTATACTTTAGAAATACATGTGGAGTAAACTACCACGCGAAACAATTAACACCGAGTTAGCTACTTTGTCAAATCAGGCGCCCACCTCTTCAGGATCCGCCTCTCGTTGACAAACACTGAAGCTAACACATTGCTAATCATTTACAATGCGTGGAGTTTTTTTCCAACAGTCTCTGTCAAAATGATTTTTGTTAGTAGTTTTGTTTACGTACGATGTTCTACAAGTCGCAAACCAATTCGATCACCGGGAAATGTACAACTAAAAGAAAAGCGCCAAAAAAGAAACCCATCGCCACTCAATAGTCGGCGCCATTAAACGGGACATTAGCCGCGAGCCAAACATGAAAACCCTTCACATAGAATAGACACTAAAATCCTTAAACTTTTGCATTACTTTGAATCAGTCCGTGCTGATTTAGAAGACATGTAGACTCATTAAAAGTGCCCGAAAACAACCCCGCAAGAATCCCTACTTTTTCTTGCAGCACAACTGGGTCGCTGCCTGGATGCTAAAGGCTTCTCACATACAGGAAAGGCCGCGAGAAATAAAGAACAGCGTGCAAATAATCTCTGAGCTTTAAACTACTTCAAACTGCACCCAAATAACCCCAATGCAGAATTACTTACCAGTGGCACCCCCGTTTGAGCGAAACCCCAAAGATTATGTTATTTCTCCCCGTAGTTTCTTCCCTGTTGTACTCATTAAAACAGCCAAGATGGCGCCAGCCGCCTTCCTCCCGCTCAGCGCTGTCCTTTTAAAATCTGCAGGATGTTTACAGTCAAAAATGGCGGAGGAGGAGTCAACGCAGAATAACGAGAAGCAGCGACGGTTCTGGGCCGTACGGGGCGCTGTATACAGTCTGAGGCAGGTTCATGGACGGTGCAGCACACAGTTGCACGGAATCAAGTAGGACAGAGAAGTTGCGTTGTACTAATTTATCAATAATAGCTTTATTCTGTATTTTGACATCCAAGATGATGCTGCAAGGCTATGTTACGGGGATTAGCACTAAAACATAATCATCACTATTTCTTCACCCTGTATATAGCTTAACTGTAAAAAAAAATGTGTGTGAAATGGTTTTGATAGTGTCTGGATATTTTTACCTAAAGCTGCACTAAGGAATTTTTCTGGTAGAGGGTATGCCAACTGCTGATATTAAGATGATATTACTTAATATTGAAACCAAACTTTTGGAATATTCTTCATAGTGATAATCGACTGTATAAATAAAGAAGTGTTTTACACTGTACTAGTATACTTAATATACAGTCTATGATCGCTATGTTATTAAAAAAAAAAAAAAAAGTAGCTGTATAGCTGTATAATGCACCTTTAACTAGGTCTGTTAGTGATTTTATTTATTTATTTATTTAGACATTTAACTGAAAATTGTGATTGAGAATTGTGTCATATCAGTCAGCCCTATCAGCATTTAGGAGAAAATGCAAACACAAATGTAATAATCGGCTCATGAGGTCTAGTTGGAGAATTGGTATTCATTGAAGCAGATTGGCCTCATTGGCCTGGGCATCTGTTGTACAAATATGGCTGCCAGATGAGCATAGTTATGACTTGTCAACAGAAGGGATCTCTGATAGTGCATAGGGTGACATGATATAGGCTACCCAAAATAAGTATTCACACATAATGTTGATAAATGTAGCCCTACTTATTTAGCACTGCTCTTAGGATCACATAATACTCATCAGAGAATACAGATGGAAAACAAGGAGGCAGTTTGTTTCATTCATCATAAAGTCTGGCAAGTGACTGATGGGGACTATAATGACATTTATTATTTTCACAAAAGAAATCATTTGTCTCAGACTTGTACATCCTGGCTACTGCATTATTCTTAAGATTTAGTTTAGACTTGCTATATATTGTACCTTAGCCAGATTTTGGTGATTTATTGAAAAAATATTTGAAATTTTAAGGCGCATCTTCTGTATGTTGTGTGATTCATGAGATCATTAAGCTGCACAGAGAAACAGCACATTGTACAGCAAAATACAACATATATATGTTCTCATCATATGACACACTTTTGAACCCTGTTTTTTACATAGATTGTTTTATCCATATTGATTGGCGTTAGCTGTTGTGGAATCATAGAGAAACACAGATCATACAACAGCTTCCAGGCTGATGTTTTATAAGAGCTTCTACAGTGAGTCACTAACCTTCAACATCTGATTAGTCTACATACCAAAACATAGCATATTATTATTGACAGCTGGACAGAATAAACTAGCTTTTACCTTAGAGTGTATTCACACGCACTATACTGACATCACTGTCAATCTTTTTTTTAGTGCAAAGATAATCGAAATTATAGCACTGCAGGATGCCCTGTTTCCTTTGCCATTCTTTGTGACACAGCAAGATATTCAATGCAAGTCATGTTACTAACTCATTTACTGACTGATTATGCAACTTTCAGTTTGCATTTTTAAAACTCAAACAAACCAAGAATAACCAAATTGACTGAATGAGAGTGTACGTAGCTCTCCCACAGCTCTTCTTACACAGTTGTTCTTAATTTTGTATTTAGAATATATAGTTATAGAATATATATATGTATATAGAACATATAGTGCTTGTTATTATTATTTTTTTTTTAATCCCCATTTAAAGCTGTTGGTTTATTTATTCTTAATTATTACTTAACTAGTATATATCCCTGACCCTCTTCCAGACCCATACTTTAACTATTCTTTCACAACCAGGATGGCCCCTTTTCCACATTTTGCCTCATGTACAATTGTTGGAGGGGGGTATGCTAAATTTCTCCCGATCTACAAGCTCCTTTGCCAGTGAATGAAGTCCATTACATAGTTTTACAAAACACACACTGTTCAAATCAAATACTATCATAACTGGTCATATGTTTTGGTATGTTACCAGATAAATGATCCTGCTGTCAGTGGAGATGTCTATATAGCATACATATTGGGGCTTTGTTGCTCCATGGCTGTCAGGGGTTTTTCCTTTTGGAGAGGGGAGAGGGGGTATCTCTCCTGTAGCGGGGGCTCCAGCTGAGTTGGCAGCTCTCATGCATCCTGGGATCATCCGAGATAGATGCTGTTATTTATGCAGCGTGTCTAAACCAATCGCCCTGACACAGATTTATGTAAACACTGCAGTTTCTTGGCATGGCATGAGGTTCACACACACGCAAAGGAAGCTAGCAATTATTTATTTTGGCTGCCCCTTGTGAACACAGTACATTCTGATAGACCGCAAAATAGGTTAGAAGTAGGACTAAATGGAGCTAGCTCATAATAACTACATCAATCAAATGTTTCACAGTGAGCCTTTATCAGAATGTTATATTTTTCCCTTTTGATGCTGGCAATATAGATAAAAGTTCCGTTTAAATCATAGAGGCTATACACAGTCTATGGTCTACACAAAAAAGTTTGAAAGACAGTTTATATCAATATTTTTATTGTTGGATGTGTTGTTTCTTATAAAACTCTTTTACAAAACATTGATTTTTCTTCTAAGTTTCCACTGCTATAAAACTGTGTGTAGTACAGGGAAGGTGTTGTTTGATAAATCCTGTGTGTAAATATTAATGTCTTTAAATTGACACAACCAGGAAGTGGAGATCCTTAGATATTCCAAGTTCAGCATACCAAGGCAGTAGGACCATCTACCACTATGAAGGTCAGGAATGTCAGTTACAGTTGTAGTGATAAGACTTGTCTCCAGTGTTTAACAGTAATAAAAACAGTTTTAAGTTACAAAAAAAAACTATGAAAAGAAAATCAAAAATATCCATATGAAACAAGAGAAAACACACAAGATTTTCTTATGAAGGCACATCAATAAGTAACCCCCTGCTCTCTCAAACAACACAACACAAAGAAATGTAATATTAATATTGCACCAAGTTCATTTTGCCACTGTGAATCTATGACCATTTTCACTACTTCCAGGACTATAGAGGCTGTTTATTTGTGCTCAAGAGCTTTGACTTCCCACAATCCCTCACAATCTTTTTCATACATTCTACTTTCTCATACAAAAGAGCGGAACATGAAACTAAATAAATATGGAAATGTTGAGCCTCTCCAACATTAGGCTGTACAAATGGCTGTATTGGCACTCTGGGTAAAGGGTGCAATCTCGTCTATTTAAAAAAAAAAAAAAAAAAACAGTAGTGAAACTCAGTTAAAAGGCTCTCCGGGCAGTGTAGTTAGTGTTACATTAATGTGATCAAATATAAACATTCTCAGTTAGTGTTACTCTCCACTTGTTGATATGCTGGGCAAATGAAGAGTATGTGAAAACGAAAGCAGATTTTAATGTCAGTTTGGCTTTAAAATACAAGATGACGACCAAGGCTGGAGATTAAGTGACATCTTGCTCAACATTGCTAATCCTATCCATTTTGTAAGTGTATGATTCTTGACAGGGCAAGACAGACTGACTTGAATTTAATCAACTTTAGGAAAAACCTCTGAAATTCTCAAACATCCAATTTGACCTCATTTCCCTGAGGCATCTCTATGTCATCAGAAACTCACTGGAATACTACACCGACCTTGTCAAACAAGTTCACACTGAATCCAAAAATATAGCTATCTGCTTTGTATGATGCAGTTGTTGTAAAGTCAGACTTGGGGCATTGTCCAATGTTTCCTAATGAGAACTGTGTTAGCCCCTGTCAAGCACTTGTCAGCTTTAGCCACTGCAAAACCTGTCACTGGGCGAAAGGGTAAAAAAATGGTGCATGACATGAAAATAATGACTTTTCATTTCAATTTCTGTCCAGGATCTTGTCCTACACAATCTGGAAAGGTATGTTTACTCAAGACGTGGCAAGCCTCCCATAAAAAAGGCAACGCAATGATCCGTTGTATTCTTCAGGACAGCAACTGTTCCAAATTAATCTACATGTGCTAAGGAAATTACTTTAGTTTGTTAGTAAGATATTTAATTAACCTTTAATTGGCCTTTAATCTGATCAGTGTATACTGAGAATGCTGATAAATATTTTCCCTATACTTTATGTAAATGCAGACCTGAAGAATCCTGGGATCCAAATATGATCAATCATATAAAAAATAAAGATTAAAATTCAAAGCAGCAATACTCCACCTTCCAACACAAGAAGAAAGACTTGAGGCACTGCAAAAATCAACTTAACACAATTTCTCAGTTTGGTGGTAGAAGGGTTATCATTTTCCCCCTATAACCCCTTACATTATTTACAACACAAACAGAGGGTAGTGCTGGCCATTTGGTTTACAAAAATAATTAATCACATCCAAAATAATGTTATCATCTTCATTGTTCATCAGTAATATTTGATCAGACTTTCAGAAACCTGTGCATAGTGTACAGTCTTTTACATTGTGTCAGGGTGGGTTTGTATTTGCAAAATCTCAGGTCCAGCACTGTTTTTGTTCAGAGCCGTTTAAAGCCTGATCAGTCTGAAATGAGTATTTATGTTTCTCAATTATTCCCAAAATACATGGGGCGCTGGAAGAGCACTGTGTAGATTGATCCATTCATTGTCTCTCTTTATTCATATAAATATGAGCAGTTGTGACGAGAAGTTTGTGCGTTTTAGGAGTCCGCCCCTCTGCCCTGAAAAAGTCCATAGAACAGAGGGGCTCTGGTGGGTTATAGCCTCTCGATGTCTCTGTATTTCTTCCTCAGTATAGACACTTGATCTTTAAACAGGACCGGGTCTAGCCTCATCTGAGAGTGGACCAATGGCATTGTGCCAAACCAGCTGGCAAACTTGTTCATGCAGGTCTGA